CACGCACACGCACACCCGCACGCACACGCACGCACCCGCACACGCACGCACACGCACGCACACGCACGCACACGCACGCACACGCACGCACACGCACGCACACGCACGCACACGCACGCACACGCACGCACACGCACGCACACGCACGCACACGCACGCACACGCACGCACACGCACGCACACGCACGCACACGCACGCACACACACGCACACACACACGCACACACACACGCCCGCACACACACACACACGCACACACACACGCACACACACACACGCACACACACACACGCACACACACACGCACACACACACACACACACACACACACACACCCACACACACACACACACAAAAAAACACACACAGACACACGCACACACACACACACACACGTGTGCATACATGCTGTCACCTGCACATTCCTCGAAGGGATCCCTGATGCAGCTGTGGAGTGAATGGAAGACGGCTGCCAACCCGTCCCTGAAGAGCGAGGACTTTGGCCATTCGACAAGCATCCCAGGGTGCTTTAAGCCTGACTTCGCCGTCATGTTTTCTGAAGGACCTCATGCCGATCCACATACCTTGGCAAGCAATTATGGATGCTTGAGACTCGGACTCGTTCCAGTCGCTTTGCACACTGCGCGTGGCAAGCTTTGGAACAAAGAGAGCTGTCTGTTGCCTGCTGCGTGCTTGACCAGCTCGTGTCACTTAGCTTTTTGCGATAGCGTGCGTGTCTGCCATCAACCAGGCTTGTGCCGGACAGAGCTTATCGGAACACCACTTCCGGGGTGCATCTACGCATTCTAGACAGTGAACTCCTGTAGACTGTAGACAGGCTGGGATAGCTAGGGCTAGAAAAAGGCTTGCCGCTCGTTTGCCATGGCGTCTACGGTCATCCAGGCTCCAAGTGGATCCAGAAGCCTGCTTTTCGGAGCGGCTTCTCCACAGACTGGGACCCAATCGCAGTCACCTTCTGCCATAGCCGCCTTCCCAAACATCTCGGGCGTGCTCGCAAGCCCAGGCTCAAGGGCCCTGCCTACAGTGTTGTAGGAGGTTCCGGGGACTTACATTGACTTACATGGTCAGCCGAAAAAATCGATATCTCAAGCCATGACAAGTCCAACAAGGAAAGGGGTCGGTGAGGGAAGGACCCATCATGTCGCACGTTCTGAGGTGGGCAAGCAGGGTTGGGCCAGGTAGCGAGAGTTCTCCAAGCGCCAAATTGGCTCGATGCTCAATGCCGGCCAAGACCATAGGAACATAGGAGCAAATGCCCGATCCATGACCTCTTGTGCAGTAGTTGTAGAGAACCCCACGCCATCACCATCGAAACCAAGTACAGTGGCCTAAAGCCTTCGGCAGGTGCGAGACTACCTTCTCTTCCGATTCCGGCGCCTGTACAGTTGTCCGCAGAAGGTGAGTCTGAGGAGGACCTGCGCTGTTCCTGAGTGGTAGACTCGCCTGTGACATATTATGCCTTCTCTTTCTGTACTCCTCCATGTCAGTCGGTTTTTGGGTGAAAATAATTGTTGTGCAGGCAAACCATTGAAACTTTGACCAGCCATGACGGGGCAAGTTACCGCCCACACCTTGAACCCAACTGCGGAAAGCATTCTAAAATGTCTGGAAACACCCTCGGCCATCGGTTTGCCTCACATGGGTCGTTTTTGATGCTTCCAGACCCCTGTGTGCATGTATGTATGCATAGACCTCAATGCAAATCCAAATATGAATAAGGCAATGCATGAATGAAGGAAGAAATATGTGTATGGATCTGGGTATGTATATATATACACATATCTAAGCATAATATGTGTGTATATAATAATATATACACCGTATATACATATGCACATACACACAATACACATTTCACCTCATGTATGTCTATGGGTTTCCGTGTGGGCAACCGTTTCGGAGTGAATGTGTGGAGCACCTGATTCTGAGTAGCGTTGACAAAAGGCACCAGCTAGCAGGAAGTTCAAGGGACTTTGGAGAGTCTTGCGCCAATGAAGATGCCTTCATTTGTTAGTTTGTGTGTTTTTGTTTGTTACCCACGACCTTGGATGAAATTCAACTCCGACGACATGGCAGATTGCATGGGGGAGGGCGACGAAGTGTTTGCAGACAGGCCTAGGCGCAGTGTGACAGGCTCTTGTTTCGTGGTGGTTTGGGTATAGAGTGCTCTGAAAGTGCTTTACAGTTGTGTAGAGAGTTGAGTTGCCGTCAAGTTCCCTCCTCGCCGGTAGAGACCGCAGGACTCCAGCGACACGAACGATTCCGATGGGGAGGGATTGCGCGTCGCACATCGGCTGTCTGCCCATGTCATGGGTTGGGGAGCAGTGGCGCGTTTTCAGCGGGCTGCATCCGTCGCAGAGATGCGAGAACAGGGCATGTCAACTGGCCAAGCCAATGCACAGGCAGTCGCACAGCATCGCAATGAAGTCCTTTTCGCCCTATACTCGAAGTATATCATGTGTGCTGCCGTGTTGGCCGTGTTCCTCAGTGTTGCAGTCTGCGGCCTGTTCATCTGGCACATGTGCGAATTCTGGCACTACAGGCAAGTGAAGTGCAATGGTAGTCTCAGGGTGATGACGCGGGTGGTGCTCGGCATCTCTATATTTGACATATTGATGGGTACCAGAGTCTGCTGCACAGAGGTGGACGAGACGAGCCTCCCGCGGAGGTGGAGAATGAAAGACTGTTGTATAGTGCTTTTGCTACTGACGATGGGCCTGAATGTTTGGGGCGTGCTTTCACTTTCTGCAGCGCAGATCAGTGGTGTGGCAGATGTGAGTTTGTTGCCCAACTGCTCCGACGCCGCCCCGGGTCTCTACATGGCCACGGTAGCTCATGGAGTCGGTCTCGTCGTCTCTTTGTCATAGTTGGACAACATTTTATATTTTTCTGGGTACTTAAACCCAATAAGGAACAAAACCTTAAATTTTTAATCCTATCCCAACCATGAACTAGGTCTACTCCGTCTACTTGCTGATCAGCTTCATTGGAGTCGGCAACTTGCTGGAAACTTTGCTAAGGCGAGGGCTCCTGACCTCGCCCAGTGGAGCGCCGAAAGGATGCCTCGAGGACTGCACCGTAGAGGTCACCGAGATCGAGGATGGCTATGAATGCCCGATCTGTTTAGAAGAATGCACCCCAGAAACGACGGTAATGACGAAGGAGTGTCACCACATATTTCACAAAGACTGCCTGCAGCACTGGCTTCAGGTGAACAGTACCTGTCCCCTGTGTCGGCAAAGCCTTGCCAGGCACAGTTAGGACTGTAAGGTAAATGTGTCAATGCCATGCAACTCTCTTTAAGCCACTTTGAGCGCCGGACCGCAACTATTCTTACGAGCTTTTGCTTCTTGCTTCGGCTGGGTTTCCCAGCGTGACTGGCTGTAGTTTGCGACATCCGTGCAAAGCCTGACCCGTTCAAAGGTGCTTCTGCAGACTCATCCCGCCATTACCCGGGTTCTGGGGGGCGGGCGAAGCCCTAACTCCTCTAGTCTAAAACCAGAACGCCACAACATGACCCCGTCCATGAGCATGAGATCAGGACCTGTTCAACCTGGGAGCTGGCTCAAGGAGCATTCCTAGGCATGCCTTGCACCAAGCACCTATGGCATATAGGTCCTAGGCTACCCCTAGTCACGCGTGGGGACATCATCTATTGAAAATTCGGCACTGTTGATACAGCCACAAGACTTTCCTGAAGGGTTTCCTCTAACATTGACTCTGGTTGAATCTGGCGGCAGAAGGCCATAGCTTTTGGCATCGTGCGGACTGCAGAGAACTGCAAACCTAGCCTCTAGACCCATCCCAAGCCCTGCACCGGCGCAGCGCATGTGACATTGCAGATTCATTGCCATGTCGGCTGATCAGGCGTTGGCAATCGTGGAGACCTCAGCATAGAATTTGCAAAACCGGCGGTGCACCTGTACGAACAACTTGAGATCAATGGCTATGGCTCTTTCCGGATAGGGCCAGTTCTGCTGCTTCTTCATGTGTTGAATCTCCGTTAGTCACCGTCTCACGCTCTCTTGAAGTCCTCGAGAACCAATGCCTCGTCCCAGATCCCAGGGATAAGGCAATGAAGCGCATTGGTTGCAACAAATGGAGTGGGGATTGGGGCCGCGAACAAAAAATGGGTTGTGGGAACGATGACGAATCATTGTGGAGGCCCTCCAAATTGTCATCATCGCCACTGCGGGAGCACGTCTTGTTCAGACTTGTTCCATGATCGGAGTGGCGATGCAAAGCCTAGAATGAACTTGCAGAGCGCCAACACAGCGCAGGCTAGTGTCACCTGTTGAAACAGCTGTGACCGGCGCTTTCTGTCACGTCAGGTTCGTGGTATCACACGGGCTGCAGAAGGACGTGAAGATGGCACCGCAGAGACCAAGGAAAGCTTGCGGGTGGCTTCAGGCCCACCGTCACTTCTTGCGACCCAGTTCGAGTTCACCAGACATGCATGGACATACCATGGGCGCACAGGTAAGGTGTGCGATTCATTGATGTTCTTCATCGAGCACCCAGACAACAGAGTTCAGTGTCACGTCGCCAGGAGCCGAGCTGGCATCATCCACGTTCATTCCGTGCAGTCGGGTCACATTTTTCATCCTCGTAATCTATAGGCCGCATTTTGGACCGACCATGTCTGCACGAAAGTCTTGCCTATTGTTCACCCTTGGCAGCTTGCAAGGCAAACACCATGAAAAAGTGCTACGAGAGCATGGCGCTCAGTGTGCAAGTTGCTACTCCCATCAGCAGATATGCAGTTATATGCATAGTCGAAAGACATGAACTGCAGGATATCCTTGCTCTATCAGCGATGCAAACATGGTCACAGTGAGGCGACGGGAACGAAGAGTTCCGGCTAGAGCATTCTATCTCTAGTGACATTGATTGTGACCTGTCATCCCTGAACGCTTCGAGGAAGGCGTATGCGAATTGCATCAAGACTGCCGCTGAAAACACATTGCTGGGTGACGACGAGGCCTGCCGTGTCTCGATCGTCCCAGTGGCAATGCAAGTCACATCGTGCGTCATGGCAGACGGCCTTGAAGACGCTGGCGTGGATTGTCAGTCGTGCCGATGGCGCGGACTTTGCAAGGACGCAGGGTTCGGCGCTTAATCGGCCCAAGGCTTTGTTGCATCTGACCGAGGGCCCAGGATTTGGAGGAGGTCGAGGTCGGTGCCAAGGAGACACGGAGAGTTTCAAAATGCCTGAGCTTCCGACTCCCCGTTTCGGACTCTTCAGGATCTTGGGGGCCAAGTGGCCGTCAAGGCTGGAACTGCTCTGGAGCCGAGTTGCCTGCCTGCCTGTGTTTGGAAAGAAGGCTTCAAGCCAGAAAGACGATGAGCAGCTCAGATCAGCCGTGCTAGCGGAGGTGGGCAGCGACCGGAGGGGATGTGGATGTAGACCCTAGACTTCCTCGCCGCGGTGGCTTGGCTGGAGCCTGCTCAGGTGATCAAGATTCCACAGGTAGTCAGCGTCACCTTTGAGGCATCCCGACTAACCGTGTTCCTGATCATATCAAGCTCAGCGTGAAAAAGCCTTCGCAGGCAGATTTCGTCGTTGTATCCACGAAGACATTGGCAGATTCCAGAAATGCAAACTTTCTAGCCGACCTGCGGCCTGGATGCAAGAATTGTTCAAGGGATCCAAGCCCTCTCTGCGTTGTTGTTTGAGGCTTCGCACGATGATGGAGCAGGCCGGAACACCGCCCTGCTCCGAAGTCTGGGAAGTGTGTGCCTGGAAGCAAGATCCTGCGCAGGGAGTACATGAGGTGAGTTTGGTGAATCCGCATACTCGCCTGTCCCTCAGTTGCTTCAGATCTCGCTGGCGGCTGAATCGGTTGGTTAGATGTTCATGAGCAGCAAAATTGCACGCCAGGTGGTGCTGGAGGAGGGTTCAGTTGTACTTGCCTGCTCCTGGAAGATCTAAGTGTGGGAGATCTGAGTGTGGGACGCTGTGAGCATGATGAAAGGTGGTTTCGGGATGTCTCGAGCTCGAGCTGTCGAAGTAACCTAGAGCTCTATAACCTGTCGGTAGTCAAAGCGGCATAGCAGTCGATCATTGCAGGCAGACACATGTTAAGTGATGGCAGCCCCCAGAAACCAAAAACTACAGACAAGAGGCAGCACGTGTTGCCTTTGGCTGGACTGCTCGCTACAGTAGCTGCGCGAACACACTCGCACAATCAGGCAAGCATATCTTAGTCACGTGCTGTTTTTTGAACCTCCTTATCTGGCCTGGTTTAGGGTTTAGGGTTTAAGGTTTCGGGTTTAAGGTTTGTGGGAAAGTGCAGGAAGCAGCGCGACAAGTTCGCCTGGACCTTGGCAAGAGCAATGCTTGTTTGCAGACTTGGCTTTGCAAGGTGTTGCAATACGAGCATTTGTAGCAATGTAATGCATCTATCTGAGTCCATCTCCGTACCTATCTATCTATATCTATCTCCGTACCTATCTACCTATCTATCTACCTATCTATCTAACTGTCCATCCATCCATCCATCCATCCATCCATCGCTCTTTCTCTCTCTATGCACCTACAACTGTACATACGCATGTAAGCAGATGCATGTATGTGTTTGAATTTGTATAGGTATAGGTATAGGAATGGTATATGTATATGCAACAGCCTGATGTTATATACGTGTTATGTACAGTATATGAGACATCATACCTACGCAGTATATGCATGTACATCTATGAAGATATTGCCAACGCCTCGGGTCTTTTTTCAGGACGGACGTGCCAGCAGATGGGGAAGAAGACTTGGGCAAGGCAGTGGAAGATTCAACAAGTGCTTAGAACCAGCCCTTAACCCGGAACCCTTAAGGGTTAGTCTTGCCCTTGAGAGTTCCCTCAAAGGGTTGCGATGACAGGGTGATCCGTCTGGCCACCCTTGTAGCAACCTTATCGTCACCCCTATTCGTGCGGCTGTGTGGCATTGGGTGCAATGGCGAAGTTCGAGACAGGCAGATCTATCCATGCAACAAACACAGAGCAGCCATTCCCTCGAAGCACTACGTCAAAGTTGTCGCAAGCATTGTCAGCACATCAAGCGGTAGTACCGATAGTACCCCTTGCAGTCACCTCCGGTATGCGTCCATCTGGCAAGTGGCCATGAGCAGGGTGGCCCCCTGGGCCTCATGGGCCGAATTCCATGGCGTCTTCCTCCAGCTAACGTCGTCGCAGCCCTGCGAAAGAGCCAGGGGTGTCAAGCGGGTTGAAACCTGGATTCTTGCCAAGGAATGACACAGGATACTCTGTACGTGACTATTACTCGAAGATTGGGGTTATTCGGCTACTGTTGCTTGGTGCTCTCGAAACCTGGGCCGAGGAGGACTCGATGTCGGCTGCCTGTGGCGGTGGATGTCACGGCAAGCTTCGTGGAGATAATGCTGAACGATGCCTATCTGAATCCTGAAGCAGCCGCCCCCAGAAGTGACCACGAACTACGCCTCATGTATGCAATGGCCGTCGTGCGCCTGGTCAATGGCATCGTAGTCGTGGCCTAAGCATCTGAGAGGCTGTCAGGCGTCCCGCATCTTCATGTCCAGCTACAACCTGCAACAGCGTGTTTGGTACAAAGAACCGTTGTCAGGATGTCTCGCGCACGGGGAGAACGACCATTTTGGCACGGGCACAGAGTGCAGAATGGCCCCAGCTATTCGTGGATCTGCGGCACGAAGCCTCTCATCAGGCAGCTTGCTGTGGATCTTTGTGAGGCGTAGTTTCTTTGTGCGTGCGAGTACTAGTATCAGGGTCCTTGTGGTGTCCTTCTATCGAACCATTTGGCCACCCCACGCTCTCTGCACTCAACCTCGTCTGCCGACAACACCCGCCGCCCCCTCCCCCACCCGCCCCAGTTCAATCGCCCGCGCAACAACGAGGGAGGGAGAATCCCGTGATGCTGACTTCCAAAAGTATGCGAGAAGGAGACCATAAGAGACATCTCCGCCGGAGAGAGACAACACTTGCTTTGCGGCACCGGCAGTCGTGCGATTGCGATGGCAAGTTGCACTTCACGGTGCATGCCGTGTCCAGCACGTGACATCTTGTTTCTTCATGTGGTATTGCCTAAAAACCCCATAAATCCTTAAACTCTAAGCCTCAAATCCTTGATGCTCCCCCCTGGCTAAGAACTTGCCATCGTTGCCGATACTTCGGCTGGCAGCCCAGGAGGCCGTTTGGCCTCTCGGCAAGCTTTGGCCAAATGGTCACATGTTGAAGAACACTATCACAATTCTGCCGCGACTACTGCCGCTACTGCCACTGCTGCTACTGCCCCTGCTACTGCCACTGCTGCTGCCACTGCTTCCACTGCTCCACTACCACAACTACTACCACCACGACGACGACTCCTACTCCTACACCTACTACTACTCTTGCTACTACTACTACTACTACTACTACTACTACTACTACTACTACTACTACTACTCCTACACCTACTACTACTCTTGCTACTACTACTACTACTACTACTACTACTACTACTACTACTACTACTACTACTACTACTACTACTACTACTACTACTACTTGCAGAAGATGCAGGGGCTCAGGTTCCCTATTTGTGACAGCTGCAGAAGTTGCAGAGGGTCACTTTCCTTAGCTGTCACCGCGGGTGAAGTTGCAGAGGTCCAGGCCCCAAAACTGCGACAACAGCTGGAGTTGCCTCGACGGGGAAGAAACTGCCAAACGACAGGTTGTCGTATGGTATTAAAGCGCTGTAAATTCTGTGCAAAATGCAGATGCTGCTAAGAAAGTTCTAACACTCCCAAAACCTGAAGCGCAACATCTAATGCCGGCTGTACGTGGGAAGGGCTCGCCAACATCCCTGAAGCCCAGACCTCAGCCTAGGAGGGTTTACTGTTGAAGCAATGTGTGGTGTGCACGCACTAGCGTGTGGAGATAGCGTTCGGACACTCATCATCCACCGGTAAAGTTCGCCCAGTAAAGTTTCGAGTTTTCGCCCAAAGCCCCCCGAAATCCGAAGCTCGAGTTGGCAAAGTGCAGAAGTAGATTTGGAGAATACACAAGATGGTCCGACATCACGAAAGTTACCACTAAATACCATTAGATACGACTAGATATAGTACCACCAGTACCGCTAGTACCACTAGTGCCACGAGTGCCACTGCTACCACCACTGCCACTCCTATAACTACTACCACTATCCCCATTACTACAGCTACGGTGGATGAAAGAAATCTTGCACGACCCAGATGCTGACTCGTGGCACCGCCCATCAGCAGTGCCCCGCACCCCCTGTCTAATATTGACGCTCGTATGATATAGTATGCCATGTGGCTGGTGCAAGATTTTTGGCAATGGAAACCCACTGCACGTCCCAGAATTGGACGTCAGTTTTAAGACGGGTGACGCAGGGTACTCATTGAATAAGGCACAATAAGATGATAATGGTGATGCTTGTGGTGATGGTGATGGTTGCTGATGGTGATGGTGGTGATGACGTCACTGATGATGCCGATGCTGATGGTGATGATGGGCATTGTGTTTATTGTGGCTTAGGCTCCTGGTCGAGCGCTACTGGCGCCCTCAGCTTCAAAAAATCGAGGAGAGGGGGCGACACTTAGCTTCAACCACGCTGTCTTTTGCCAGGGTCTCCAAGAGTTTGCTTTCCGAGGCAACGGAACATCCCAGACGGCGGACCGAGGGGCAAAGACCCTGGACCGGAAATTGAAGGCCACGGAAGTTAACAAGACTTTCCCCTACCCTTTAATGGGCTATATAATGGCTATATAATAGCTATATTAAGGGTATATACCTAGGGGTCCTTAGTAAGGGTCCCTTCTTTGTGCCTCGATGGGTGAGGTCCTGTGTAAGCGATGTACAGAAGCCTGAGCGGTGGTTAAGCAGATATCTGTCATGGACCCCTGATCAGGCTCTCATGTGGTGCACAGCGGCGACGCGTGCAGCAGAGGAGCCTTCACAGAAACGCCGGAAGTTTGGCAACAAGATGAAGGCTCAAGAGGAAGCGAATGATGACTTGCTTATCAAACCATAGCTACTGTGCTACAGAGTGCCCAACCGTCGTCTGCACAAAAATGACTTCCAGTGTCAGTGTCCAGTGGAATCTCTCTGCAGAAATGACAGGATCAGGATTCAGAGGCTGCTGCAAGAGAAGCAAGCTTGGCGGCCAAGAAGGCTGCCGAAGATGTATCCGAAATGGCTGCAGATGAAAGTAAGCTTCTCGCACGCGTTTTTCAGGCCTGGCTGGTCTCGTTGCTTCAGTCGTTTTGTTTGACTCTGGCTCTGCCCGCTTGCAGCAGGTTCTTGAGGGCGAGCCTCATGCGGATGGTAGAGACAGCAGAGCTCTGCACCTGCTCTGCCAGCACCACGACGCAGCCATTGCAAACCTCAGACGCAGCGAGTCCAAGCCTGGCAAGCCTGAAGCCAAGGACATGTTCGGAGAACTTCGCGTTGCGTTTGCTTCGCCATCTTCTCTTTGCGGCCGCGGGACTTCCCACCGTCAAGCTGGAGGGGGCAGCTGACAATTGTCCAAGCCTACGCAATATCTCTGAGACTCGGTCGAGCCGTTGAAGAGCCGTGTGCAGGGAGCGAAGCGGCACAGTCCGGGGACGAAGATGATCTTGCAGTGCTGGGCCTAGGATCACTATTGTTCATCAGCGACCGAGCCTGGCACGAAGGACTTCCGCTTTCTGGGGATGTCGGCAAAGAGCTCTGCAGGGTAACGGGCTGACCCTGGGAGGAGCACTCGAGTGAGGATTCGGAAAGGATGCTACACTGGCTTTGGGCCCTGTTGTCAAATGACACTCCGGACAAAGATTCTGGAAGGCCGGCTTTGGCACTCTACAAGCTTTATATGGATTTTGCATCCCCTGCGCTCAGTTCTTCACGAGTCCGCTGCACGTTGGCAAGCTTGCTGCCTTCACTGCGGCTTGCCGTTGTTGGCCACATGGCGACCTCAAGCGGTTCCGACGTTGTGCCACGGCAGCAGTCCAGGCGTAGCAGTGCTCAGGAAGAGCAATCTGTGTGAAGGGATGGCGCACGGCACCACTTGACCACGACAGGTTCAACTGATGGAGCTACCGCAGGCATGCATGACTTACTATCCCAACAAAAAGCCTAGCTTTTCGGCACTACCTCACGAAGTGTTTTTTCTCACCTGAGCTGCTTCGTTTTTCTCCTTTCCCTCTAACCACTTGAAGAATACAAGATCAGATGCTTGCTCCAGTGCTGCTCCGATTCCTGCGCACGATGCTTCCTGACTAACCGGCAAGCTAACAGATGGACTTACAATGAATCGTGAAGAAAACGCTTATCACAGCAATGACGCTGCCCGCACTGGATTTGCGGTTCTTGGGCTTGCGATTTGAGCTCCGAGTTTAGTCCGCGGCTTCGGCCAGCACAGCCCAAGCCCAAGGCATCTCGCTCCTCACGGCTTTGGGCAGTGCTCAGGGAAGAGCGGCTCGACGCCGGGGCTGAAATGTTTTCAGCTATTTGCGAGGCCTGGGCCACATAGTTTGCTGCGGCCAAGCGCCCAGCAAGTCATGCCAGGATTGCCGGTAGCATTCTCTCTGAGCATCCGGCAGGCATTGGATCCAACCAGTGGCCTCTCCTTGCGCGACTCTCCAAGTCAAGGACCCTATTTCACTTCTTAATAATTAATGCGACACGCTCACCCCATAAGCATCCCTTTGTCCTTTGCAAGCAGGACTGGAGGAGATGGAAGGCTTTGTGAAGAAAGCTCAATCCAAGTCGGGCACTCACTGAATGTTGTCTACGGGGTTTTCGTGTTGATCGCCCCTCAATTCCTCAAGCTGGTCGAGTCTCAGGACCGTGTCCACTGATATCCACTGATCCGCAGTCCTAAATCCAAACCGCCGTTATTTTTGCAGTTCCACTACACAGTCGAGCCGCGCTCCAGATATCCCCAGATTATGGCTTTCAATTGGCAAAACGACACCCCCGGTGGGCCTGGATGTAGGCGTAGGCCCACGGAGATCCCCAAGCGCAGGCCGAACCAGAAAGTGGGGCGAGAGCCGTGGACAGCTGTGGGCACGGTCTTTGACCGAAACTTGTCTATCCGTTGTCGAGAGGAGCCGCTTGTCGGCAATCCTTGGAAAGACACCATCTGATATCCCTATGTAAAGGTGCGTTGTAGTTGCTGTCAGCCTGTCACTGTTGGTGCATCTAGCACTGCGGTCAGATTATTTTTGTCATTGCAGCAGTGACGGATGGACTCTCAACACACCTACGTACAAACAGCTCGCTATCATTATCAGATGATCAGCGTTTCTGTTTTGAACACACTGCTGTGCAGGAGCAGTATACTGCGGCATGCACTCAGAGCCACTTACACACATATATATATATTTATATCTATATATATGTATATTTATATATACATATATATATATATATGTATGTATATGTATATGTACACATACATGTATATATATATGTTTATATGCATATATCTATATGTCTTATGT